GATTATTACTAGAGTTATGATTATTTATTACCGAGTTAATTACTCGGTTGTGTTCGGTTGGCCTACTCGCCTAGCCAGCGGGGTGGCGTAAATTGAGGCAAAAACAATGTGTACGGAAACGTGAGCATTGTGGCCAGCAACGTTACAAACCTGGCCTGGTAATTACAAACGTTTGTTAGTCTGGTCAATCCAGGTAATCCAGGTAAACAATAACTAAGCAGTGAATAATCTCGGTCAACATCCATGACAAAACCAACTTCAAAGAGAAAATTCGTGAGTCGATTTGATCGGTACCCGTTGAACCGCCAGTGGCCAATTTGATGGATGACATTAAACTGGATTGTTTCTTTCGAAGCTTATCGATCAACTCGATCGCTTCACGCATCTCCGTTATACACTCCAATCGCTGTTGGCCCACATAACTCATCTCCAGTTCACAAGTCCTGCAACAATTTCAATTGTCTTCATATTTCTCTCCATAAAATGCATTTGCTCATCGCTGGTTTTAAAAGAGTTTTAGCTAAGAATACATTTGCGATTGATTAAGTCTTGGTAAATAATTATATCATGAATTAATTGCACAAAATACAATTCAGGCCACCCTAAATTACGCGGAGGTATTTCAGGTTTTAGTTAGAATCACTAGAGGAGATCGAGTANTATCGTTGAGAAGTAATGAAGTTATACCTCCTCAACAAAGGTTGTAACGCAAGTGGCGCTGAACTGGTACTCTCCAATAGGCGTTCTGCTTCAAGTAACTGAGAACGCAGCTGTAAATGAATATTCAATGATTACAAATGAAACACACTGCTAATTACTCATTTAATAATTCGCATCCCCTCTAGAGTGATATCCGATAATATCTCAAAACAAATTTCGACAATTCAGCAATCGACTTGCAAATTTGATAGATACACAAAATTCGTATTGCTATGCCATCACAGTGGTACTCTCTCTGCCGCTGCTTGTTCCATGTTGAAATGGAAACGAAACAGAGAATAAAAAAGAAAAAGAGCAAAAAATCGAGAGAAATGGAGAATGAGAGCACAATGTAGTGAATATAATTCCAGTTTTAGCTCCATATTAAAGTCTCATTAGAGATTTGCAAAAAAAAATCGAAAAAAGTCAGAAAAAATTATGAGTTTTTCGAAACGGTTGCACCAATTAGACCCATAAACACTTGAACGGAGATATTTCAAATGGCACTTTTGCAATAGGTGGAAAATTTAGCGGCAGAGTAGAATGTCAATTAGTGGAATACTTTAAAGTGAAAAAAATTTCCTAAACGATAAAATAATAATCATAATAACAGTCACAGTAATAATGCATATAATATTAATAACAATAATAATTTTAATAGTAAAAATATTAATCTGAATAATATCAACAATAATAACAACAACAGTAATAATGGATTCTAAAGTACCGTTTCCATTTGTTCGTTTTCAGTAACAATAGCCTCACACACGGACTGTCTCCTCTTTCGTTCCTCTTCGAACCTTAAACACATCAATATTTCCGTAAACACTTTCCTATCAACTTCTCCAATCAAAATATCACATATCAATCACTCATCACTTTATTTACTTCTAATAAAATTTTCAAAACAATGCAACTAACGAATAAATCACAAAAATATTACTCAACGCACTTCTGCTGAACATCCACAAAGTCGTTCTCCATCGTCTTCAGTTGATTCAACTTCGAGCTCAATTGCTCCATTTCATGCTGTGATCTTGATCGCTGCCGTTTGTATAGAATCAAGACGGTTATCAGAATCAAGAGGAGGATTGACAGTGCGATATCTTTCATACGAGACGATCCATCACCTTTAATGGAAACCAATGAATACATTCACAATCATTATAGTCACTAATGATACTGCCATTATTATCCATTATGACATATTGTGTTTCGGTATCCTCGTTAGCACTGTTGTTTGATTATTATTGAGATGCGGTTTTATTAACTCACTCAGATCATACGGTGTCTGACATTTATTACAGTTTCTTTACTCTTTATCAATGTTTCATCATGAAAATCCATTCATGATGAAACTTTAATAAAGGATATTGAAAACTATAATTATTTATATTATACCATCTATTCCAATTACAGATATCTCGTTATATTATCCAAATGTTATATCCAAATCATCCATTGTTCACGATAAGTATATCGTTTACCTACTGGTTTCTGCAGAAATATTTGTTCGTAAACATACGAATAATTCTGACTGATGTAATACAACTCAATTCAGCGAATAGCACAAAAATGAAATTAGAAAATGGCTCAGCACATCCCTCACATCTTCAGCACTATCATCCAATTCGCTATCATACCCATCCATCATCGTCACCATCAACGAAAAATAATCATTTCAAACGAACAAATGTCATTTTTCATAATTTCATCACTTCAATATTTCATCAAAACACCAATTTCTCAGTGCTAAAAAACCCCCCACCCACTGTCACTGTTCTATCTTCCCCATCATCAATCTATTCTTACTATCGCTTTGTTCTCATCCAACACTGAAATTTTTTTCCAAACAATCTACTGATTCATACGCGCATACAAACTACTATATAAATACAAAAAAAACG